TATTTGATTATATTTATCCGCAATTAGTTATACGAATTCAAAAATCGAGCTTTGATAAGTTGTACTTTTGCATAATTTACTTGTAATCTTGAATTTTAAGTAAACATGGGTTTTATGTGGTTTTGAGAAAGTGGTAATATTTTTATTTTTGAATAAAATATAATTTAAAAATATCATAAAATTTTGAAAAAAAAAATATCGATATCAATATTAAATTAATTTTTTTATAAGTTATTGTGTTTTGCTGTAATTTCTTTAATTAAATTATATTAGTTATCAATAATTATCATAATTATATTTTATATTTTTTATATTTAAAATGAGATATTTATTCAATATTTGATTATGTTTATCTGCAGTTAGTTAGACGAATTCAAGTATGGAACTTTAATAAGTTGTATTTATGCATGATCAAATCGAGTGCGCTGTTATGATAGTGATATCACATGATTATCACACTCATATCACACCAAATCGTGTTGATATAAGCGATAATGTGATAATTGTGTGATAATCACCTGATTATCACACCCATATCACACCCAAATCGTGTTGAAATAAGCGATAAAGTGATAATTGTGTGATAATCACATGATTATCACACCCATATCACACCCAAATCACACCAAATCGTGTTAATATAAGTGATAATGTGATAAGTGTGTGATAATACATGATTATCACACCCATATCACATGATAATCACACGATTAGCCGTTTATTAAATAATAATAATCATGATCGTGTAATCGTGTTAAAAGATTTTATGATATCATTTCCATTATTATCCTTTTAATTTTAATATTTTTTTGAATCTTTTTAAATTTCAATTTTAATTTTAAAAATCTTTTAATTTTATTTTTTATCACAATATGAGGTTATTGGGTTGTTCTCGCATTCTTGTAAATCAGAGGGGTTCTTGTTTGAACCCTTCCCTATATATATATAGATCTAACTAAGTAAAAACTAAATAGTTTGTGGTAACTGTATGTAAGGTTCAATATAAGTCAATCATTTTAGATAATTAATGTTATTTACTAAAATAAAACAAAGGGTAAATTAGTAAATTGTGTTGATTATTCAATTTATTTTAATTAGTTTAATATTTCAATTTACTTTAATCAATTTAATTATTTTAATATATGCATATATATACCCACACACAAGGACCAAATCCGGTGGCCTTCTCTGGCACCCACCATCACTCTGATGACCTTCTCCGGTCATCTTGTCTGACCAAAACGCTTTCTCCGATGATCAACCATTAAACACCCACCTGTGAATATTCCCAACATCTGGTATCATAGTGGTACCACAGTTGGTACCACAATAGTCTCAAAGTTTACTTGGGGTGTTTTGGGTATCACATTGTGTATCTTGGAGTATTTTGAGTATCACATGGTGTTCGTCGAAGGCCAAATAGGGGAGAGAGAGAAAGAGAGATAAAAAAAAATTCCCTAAAATGTCTTTTAATTATAAATTTAAGTCAAATTACCAAAAATATTAGTTTCCTAATTTATTCATTGATTTGTGGTTGAGATTGAATCTCACAGTTATTACAAACTAATCAGTTCTCTCTTGAATGGATCCCCACACACACACACACAAACACACACACACACACATATATATATATATAATATATATATATATATATATATGTCACATATGATAAGAGTTATAGTGAGAAAATGAGAACAAAACTTTCATTCTATTATTTTTATTTACTTAATTTTTATCATCATGATCAAACATTTAACAAATTGATACATGTGAAAAT